AAAGGAGAAGGGAGGACAGGACAGGACAGGAGAGAGAGTCTAGTCCTGGCAATCCTGCTGCAGCATGCAAATCCCTGTGTAATATTATTTCTAGCAGAATCTTTTTGCACTTGTATGGAGGAGCAGTTCCCTCAGTTCTCAAAGTGCCAGCTGGCCACCATGCCAAGGCCTCTTGACTGTGTTCCAGCTACCTAGCGTGTCCTTCCCCAAGTCTGTGCCTGCATTGCCGCAGCCTCTTGGAGACCCTGCTGACCTTTTCTCAAGGTTTGCTGCTCTCCCTCTGTCCTGGAGCTTGGTCTGTCTATGCCGAGTTACTCTCACACTATGCTATGTTTTTCATACTACTTGAACTGATTTTTGTTATGTGCTACTTTATGGATGGGAGGGTTGTTTGGGTTTCATGGGGGGTTTGTTTTGTGGAGGGGGAGGGTTGTTGTTTGTTTGTTTATATTTGAGACATGGTTTCCCAAAGGCTGACTTCAAACATCCAAGAGTAGCCATGTATGACCCTGAACTCCTGTTTCTCTTGTCTCTGTCTCTCCATGTTGGGATTATAGGTGTGCACCCCCACACCTAGACTCTGTTTATGCCCGGCTGCAGCTCTGCAGGCCAGGCACACACTCTGCTGGCTGAGAAACATCCTCGTCTTTATTTTTAAAGCTTTATGAGATCAAAGTCCATGTTTATTTGTTCATTGTTATATATTGAACAGAGCAAACATCTGAACACATGATAATCAATAAATATTTAATAAACTACTTGGGCCAAACATAACAAAAGAATCTGTGGTAATGAATAGAGTGGGATAACAGAAAGGAAATCATTTTGTGTGGAAACATGATGAGTTTGAATTTGGATATGTTGAGTTTTAGGTGACAGCCAGGATTCTTACTTCAATATGTTCAAGACTTTCACTTTGGCAAGATACTCATGCAGATTTTGGAGTCATCACCATGAGGTTTTTTTGATTAGAAACAGATGATCTCTGATGGAGAGAATGTTATGTGAGAGCTTACAGTCAGACACTTCCAATCGGAAACAATTGCAGGTGGTAAGAACTGTCAATAACAGTTAGAAAAAAAATATGACAAGGGAAAAGTAGAAGTGTCATATATTACAAGTATGTAAAGATTTTGTAACTATACAAGTATTTCCTTATTTACTTCCAAATCGTCATTGTGAAGAAATAAAGTTATTACCATCAGAAAACTGGTTATATCACAATCATGTTATAGCAATCACTTGTGAATACCAAAAGACCTCTGTTATATGTAGTAGACTATTTATATGCCTGCCTTTAAATTAGACAGTTATTATGTTTTTATTACTGAGGTGTCACAGGGAGATTAATTACTGTCAGCTTAAGTCTCCAGTTACAGAATGAAAAGTGTATGAAAAGTAGGAAACTTTGATCTTCTAAGAAAGAAACACTTATTTTTATTAGTTCAGAGAATTTATTATTTTTGTTTTTATTAGCTTTGTTATTTCATTCATACATATGTTATATGTACATATACACATATATAATGAACATATATAATGAATTCTGATTGCTCCCTCCCCTACCCCATCTTTTGTTTCCTTATTATCGTTATCAGTACCCACCTCCCCATTCCGTACTCATCCCTTTTTTATAATCATGACGTTTGGGTGGTTTCGTGACGCTTTTGTTTAACTAGGGCCATCTGTTTGGACACTGGATTTAAAATATCCACTAGAACTAGTGGAGTCATCCAGTAGGTATTCAACAGAAAACAGTGACCCGCTCCCCCCAATCTATCTTAGCAAATAGCTCAGCAGTGAAAAGTGGTGTACCCTGAGCCTATTCCCCTCTGGCTGTAGATGGACCATTCTTTTTCTTTCCGTTTATTTGTTTGTTTGTTTAAACACTTTACAGCCTGATCCCAGCCTCTTCCCTGCTCTCCTCCCAGTCCTACCCTCATACCCTCCTCCTGGTGTTCCTCCCTCTCCTTCTTTGAGACTAGGAGGCCCCAAAGAGGCCTGGCACCTCAAGTCACAGCAGAACTAAGAGAATCCTCTCCCACTGAGGCCAGACTAGGAAGCCCAGCTGGGGGAAAGGATCCAAATGCAGACAACAGGGACAGAGACAGCCTGTACTTCCATTATTAGGACACCCACATGTTGAAAAAACTGCACATCTACTACATATGTGTAGGGGTCCAGCCCCTGGATGCTTTTAGTTGGGGGCTCAGTCTCTATGAGCCCCCATGGGCCCAGGTTAGTTTACTTTGTAGGCATTCTTGTGTTCTTGACCCCTCAGGCTCCCTCTATCCTCCATCTGTTTCCATGAAGCCTCTCATAAGACAGTTAATGCTAGGCTCCTGTTTGCAAGCATAGCAGGGTATCATTAATAGTGGCAGGGGTTGGCTCTCTCCCATGGGGTGGATCTCAAATTGGGCCAGTCATTGGTTGGCTGTTGCCTCAATCTCTGCTCCGTCTTTATCCCTACACTTCTTGTTAGTGAGACAAAATTTTGCAGACCTAGTACAAGTATTCACAGCGACTATGAGTTGTTGTTGTTGTTGTTGTTGTTGTTGTTGTTGTTGTTGCAATAATGGCCATGTCTTTTCTTTTGGGCAGAAAATGACATTTTGTTTCTCCTTTCCCTATCTTCCAGCTCTTGCATTCTTTCTACCCCTCCCCCCTTTTCTCTGATATTCCTTCAACTTTAGGACTGAGAAAACGCATGCTCAGCCAACTCAATTTTAAGTTGATCTCATGATTAAAAGACATCATGTTAGGGCTGGCAAAGTGGGTTGGTGGATAAAATGGCTTCCTACATACAAGGTTAATGGCCTGTGTTCAGCCCCAAAACGCACAGAGAGGTGGAAGGAGATAATCACCTCCACAAAGCTGGCCTCTGACCTCCAACATGTGCTATGTGCCCAGGCCCACAAATACATGCATCCTGCACACACATACTCACAATGATGAAACCTAAACTTTGTTCTAATAAAATAAGACCATCATTAAAGTGTACCTCTTTCTTCTACTTTATTTAAAAAAAAAAAATGCCTGTGACTTGAAGAATTGGGAAGACAGGTGGAATTGTGCCTATCTAGTCAGTCGTCCAGCAGACAAAAACCTTAGTCACAGTTTTCTCCTTTCCCAGTCTTTGCCATTTTGCCCCCGAATGAGTAAGATCACTCCTGTCATTTAAGCAGGGCCCTTACATACTGTTCTCAGTGTCTTCCTTACTGTTCTCAGTGTCTTCCTTGCAGGTAAAGGGGCTCATCACTGTCCATTGAAATTACCTATTTAAAAAAATATGGAGAAAGTGTAAAGACAAAAACATTGACTCAGCCTTGCAGGGCAGCAGCAGTATATCATGGCTGAGCAGTAGACATGAAGCAGCACAGCACAGGATGGCCCTTCCAGAGTATTGCTTATACTGAGTTCTCAGAAGCACTGATTCCTACTAAAAATAGGAACATATATTCATTAAGAGAGGGGAGAACTCCAACATAGCCTTGTTTTATATGAAAGAGACAGTTTTAAAATTTTGGCCCACAGTCTTGGTCTGTAATTGATATACAGTAAAGCCTTTTTGCTTCCCCCCCCCCACACACACACACACAAAAAAAAGAATAATAGGCCCTTCTCAAAGAAATATATTCTCTAAGAATTGAATGACAGTGGGGTAAAGTTTTATTTCATCCATGCTGTTAAACTTTCCCTACACATGCACTCTAGCTGTGGCTGATATTGGGAGGAATAAAAGTCATGTGCTGTTTTGAAGGTGCAGTGACATTCCAAAGCAGTAGGCTGCCTGGGTTGTGCAACCTGTTTCTCCCTATATTTATGCATCTTATACCTATCAAAAGATCTGTGATAACCAGTGTCACAGTGCTTATAGGAAAGGTCAGTTAAAATCTTTAGCTGTTTCCAGTGATAGAGCAGAAGAGGTAGAAGCCATTGCTTTCTAGAGAGATGCCACCTAAAATCAGAACGTAAGAAAATCTGGCAACCCAGCCCATAGACATGGACCTATGATTCCACCTAGTCAGGAGACAGAGGCAAGAGGATTTCAAGTTTAAGGCCAACCTAGGGTGCAATCCAAGTCCAACCTATGCAATCTAGTGAGACCTTGTCTCTAAATAGAAGAGATTTTGGCTAAGGCCTGGGCTGAAACCTCAGTAAATGGAGATAGGTAGATAGATGGATGGATAGATAGATAGATAGATAGATAGATAGATACATACATACATACATACATACATACATACATACATACATACATACATACGGAGATAGAGAGATGTGTTTTACCTTGTTTTGATGAGAGCAGAACTCCTGTACAGAATATGTCCCTATGTTCTCTCCTTACTTCATTCCATATCTCTTTTTAGCTAGCTGTTCTCAATCCCATTACAGAAATGGAAGCTAAGTTTAGCAAATTGTTTGGCCTTATATGTTTAGTGCACAAAATTCTTAATTAACAAAGTAAAATGCCACCATCCATTGTAAATCACTTTGCTAAACTTTCAAACTTAATAAGGAATCTTGTCTTGTCCAAAAACTACTCTCAAACCCCTGCTGATCTGGCACTCATGCCCAATTCCCTGTGGAGCTGAGGAAAAGAATGTAAAGGGAGCCAATTAAAGAAACTTTGAGCCAGAATAGACAAGCAGAGGCCATCTTGTCCACCCTTCTGCCTCCAGGCAAAAACCATTCGCTGCAAACACAAATTTCTGTGTGAATCCTGCTGACAAAAACGTTCACCACATGTAAATGATAAGTCATAATCCAGTTATTGCAACTAAAGCAGATTGTTAACTGTTCGAGACTTTATTTATTGCGTTGTAAAGATGCTGAGTGCCAGAGCTCATCTGAATTGTCTTTAATTCTCCCTTTCGAGAAAATAATTTTGTGCAAGAAATGCACTCAGATAATTGTCAACATGGGGGAGGTTTGTGTCCAGAAAATAAAGTTATCTTCATCATCTTATTAAATGTATTTTTGGTTTTCTTTCACTCTAGGCTTACCTTACGGGTGGGAGGAAGCTTACACAGCAGATGGAATCAAGTACTTCATCAAGTAAGTACGAGCATCTCAACCAAGTAAGCAATTTTGCTCACATCTGGAGAGAACCTGGAAGTTGCAAAATAATCAGCAAAACCAAGAAACCCTCTTGGAGGTTACAAAAATTAGAAACAAGAAATGAAGCCTCACCATCTTCAGTGCATGTGATTTAAATGCTGATATCAGATGTCACTGGGGGGTGCAGGCCTAGTAACAATATCTAGGGAAATAACCAAAAACTGGAACAGAATCTGGATCTGAACCTGAATGTTTCCTGTCTGAACTCACTGGGAGAATGACATCATTTACCATTCTTGGAAAGTTAATATGTAACTAAAAATCCATTTGTCATGTCCTAAAACTACTAGCAGTCACTACCTTAAATGCTATATAGAAGACACAAATCATTCTGAAGACAGTATTTGGTCATTTCTGTTTGCCTGTAGTATTCCTGAATGTTAGCAGTGAAATATATAGACCACATGCCTGATATCATGGAATTCACATGGCCACAAGAAATGGGAGACAGTAAATAATCTAACATATAAATAGGACAGTATATGAACAGCCCTGATCCCAGTGTGACAACAGCAGCCTTAAGGATATGTATACCACCCTAGCATTTTTCTTTAACTTGTAGAGAAAGAAAATCAGAGACTTGAGTTGTTGCCAGAAAACTCCACAGCTACTGTTACCAAGTGAGAATCAGAAGCTAAACCGTCTGGCCCAAGACCTTTTCTATTGCACTAGAGCAATGATTTTGCTACTGTTATAAACTGTGATGTAAATACCTGACCTATGACCCCTGCGAAAGGATCGGTCAACTCCAAAGGGGTAACAATCCACAGGTTCAGAACTGCTGTACTAAACTGTCACTCATACAGACCTTGAAAGCCTAAGCAGGAAAAGACTGTATTGTGCTGGGCTGGATAGTTTTTCTCTGAATACAGTGGGCTGTGACAGTTCTGCCATGTTCTAAAGAAGTCCTTTCATGTCAGAAACAGTATTATGAGAATTGAAAGGAGAAATCGACCTCTGGCTGGGATCCCTAGAAAAATCTCTCGTACATCCTTATAGCAAATGCTGCAAGAAAAATGTCCTTGCTATTCTTTCAAATGTGCACATACTTTCCAAGCAATATGCAGATTTTGCTTTCCCAAACCCTATTCCTCTACATAGGTTCCTATCTCTTGCTTAACTTCAGTTTTGCTTCAAACAAGGAGAGTGCTGTCATTGTGGAGTTGCTGATGACGTTAAGGACTGACCCTGAATCTGGGAAATGACCCATAACTAGTTACCATTATTTTTTATTATGGAAAGACTATCATGTCAAGAAAGCAGAAACCTGCAAATCATCACCTTAAGGAGATCACAAATTCAAAATTTCATATTTATGATTTAAGAAAACTCAAAGAAAAACCTGACAGTTTTCATGGCATGTTTTTTTTTTCCTTGTTCTGTTTGGTGGGTGATAAAGCAGAGATGCAGTTTATAGCATGAAATAGAGAGAAATCCTGGAATACCACGTGTAGATCACACTCAACAGCCCACTCCTCACTTCCAGAATCACTCCCTCTGGAAACAAATCTACTCCCAGATACACTGCATTGATCATGGTGTTCCTACCTAAGCTGTAATGATGGCAGCAAAAGGAAACACCATATTCTAGTTTGTATCAGGCCTCAGCTGATGCTCACTGGCCAGAAGCACACTAAGTGTGTTTTTCTATGCATTGTAACACTTAATTCTCTTAATAATGTGTAAAGTAAATAATGCAAGGTTTCATGTTGGTGGTGTCATGTCATCATGGTGTTGGGTTGATGACTATCTGCATCTTGCCCTCAGCCATGCCTCCTAAAAGGATCCCCAAAGAAAGTCATAATCCAAAGAAGGAAAATGGGCATTCATTAGTAACTGAGCTTCTGCATTCAAAGGCCTTCGCAAATGTCCAAGTCTGCATTCTGCACAGAGTTCTTTTACCTAAGCTGAGCTGACAGTAGATCCTGCCTCACATGAAGGTAATTATGGCAGGGCCTAATTAGTGCTCTGTGAGAAAAGGCTACTGAGAGCAGAGTTGCCCATAACACAGAAAAAAAGCAGACCCAGATATGGCCATCGAGAGAAATAATTTGTCCCACTGCCTGGTCCCCAGCTGGGTAAGCCACTGGCCCTTAGAAAGTAGAACAGCTTTTAGCCTGGCCTTCTACTACAAAAATGAGTGAGATGTAAGGAGAGGAACCGAAAGAGAAAGCCAGCAAGCTGTGGACACTCTGAGAACTGACTCCTATGGAAGGAATAGAAAAAGTAGACATTTACCCAGCCTCCTTCACTCCGCTCAGAAGGATAGCCCGACGTCTGTTCTAGAAACTATCAGTTCTTTTCATTGGCCTTATTCATGGTGTAGGAGGAAAGCAAAGAGAGAGAAGACAGATCTCTTTTCGAAAGGGCATGGGTGGGTATCATTGTCACACTACTGCAGCAGAAGAGACTGTCAAAGAGGCTAAACTCAGCAAAGTCACCCTCAATCAAACTGCAGAGCCCAGATACAGGCCCAGAGTCGTGTGGCTCCAAAACCACACCCACCCACTCAGGTGTGCCACACGCACCCTCGGGCAGCATCACTCCACTTCCCTTATTTTAAGGTCATCTGGCGACAGGTAACAAGAAGGAAGTTTTAAACAGATTTAGGTAAAATGTTATACTTTGTCCATTTTAAAGTGGCAGAACTTGCTTCTAAGAGTGAGAAGTTACCTTCTGTAGATTAGGAGGTCAAAGAGCAAAAATAAGACAGTCTGACACCATCCCCAGTCTCTGCCTTTTTGAAGAGTGGAATGCTTGCCATGAGTTAGGTTTTTCTTTCTGAGAGCTTAACCCTGTTCAAGCAATAAGATGGATATTAGCCTTGCCATTCTACATGTGTTATTTTTTTATATGTGTTTTATCCCTACCCTCTTGTAGGGAGCCTACTGAATGAAACCTCTATGAACACCCATCATTAGGCATATACAGTGGATTTCACAGAGGTTATTAGGCTCCTCACTCTAACAGGCTGAGCTGCATCTCTCAGTGACCTGGATCTGCCCATCTCTGTCTTCATCCCATTCTTCTCTTTCAAAAGCTGCCTCTTCCCGCAGGAGGTTTTTGTTTGAAGACGATTTTAAGGCCAGATAAGCAAACTGATTTGAATTGCTTATCAATAGACTTTCTTTTTTTCTTTTTTTTTTTTTTTATTTATTGCAATTTATTCACTTTGTATCCCAGCTATAGCCCCTCCCTCGTGTCCTCCCAATCTTTCCCTCCCTCCCTCTTCTCCTCCCATGTCCCTTCCCCAGTCCACTGATAGGGGTGGTCCTCCTCCCCTTCCATCTGACCCTAGTCTATCAGGCCTCATCAGAACTGGCTTATTGTCTTCCTCTGTAGCCTGTTAAGGCTGCCCAGCAAAACTTTGGGCAGAGTATAGGCAATCCCATGAAAGAAGGGGGAGATAAAAAGACCTGGAGGGAACAGGAGCTCCACAAGGAGAGCAACAGAACCAAAAACTCTGGGCCCAGGGGTCTTTTCTGAGACTGATACTCCAACCAAGGACCATGCATGGGGATAACCTAGGACCTCTGCATAGATCTAACCCATGGCAGCTCAGTGTCCAAGTGGGTTCCCTAGTAATAGGAACAGGGGTTGTCTCTGAAAACAAACTACTCTTATGGGTAGGCTGCATGCCCCGCAGTAGATACCCAACAGAAACCAAACATATAGACATATAATATAGGATAAACGTACTATAATCTGTACACTTCAAGAAGCTAAGCAAGAAGGAAGACCCTGGGTAAAATGATCAATCCTCACTCAGAAAGGCAAATGGGATAAATATCGGCAGAGGGAGAAAACAGGGAACAGGACAGGAGCCTACCATAGAGGGCCTCTCAAAGGCTCTACCCTACAGGGTATCAAAGCAGATGCTGAGACTCATAGCCAAACTTTGGGCAGAGGGCAGGGAATCTTATAAAGGAAGAAGGAAATAGAAAGACCTGGAGGGGACAGGAGCTCTGCAAGGAAACCAACAGAACCAAAAAATCTGGGCCCAGAGGTCTTTTCTGAGACTGATACTCCAACCAAGGGCCACACATGGAGATAACCTAGAACCCCTCCACAGATGTAGCAGCCCATGGCAGCGCAGTCTTCAAGTGGGTCCCTAGTAATGGAATAGGGACTGTCTCTGACATGAACTCAGTGGCTGGCTCTTTAATCACCTCCCCCTGAGGGGAGAGCAGCCTTGCCAGACTACAGAGGAAGACTATGCAACCAGTCCTGATGAGACCTGATAGGCTAGAGTCAGGTGGAAGGGGAGGAGGACCTCCCTATCAATGGACTTGGTGAGGTGCTTGGAAAGAGATAAGGGAGGGAGGGTAGGATTGGGAGGGGATGAGAGAGGGGGGCTACAACTGGGATACAAAGTGAATAAACTGTAATTTATGAAAATAAAAAATAAAAAAAGAAAGTCATTATACATATGCAAACGATCTGTAGGGTAAAAGAAGAAAAAATAAATAAATGAATAAAATTAAATAACGACAAGAAACAATCAATAGACTTTGAATGTGGGTCTGCAGGGGCGCTTGTGTGAGTCAATTACATCACTCTGGTATAGGTGGCTCCAACTGTGAAAGAAGGCTTCCTGATTTCAGGAATGAGAGAGTGATCTTTGGGCCTGGAGAGACCTGGATTGTAATGCAAGTGTCTCCACAGAATAGCTACTTAGCAGATGTATGCTTTCATTTCCACTTCATAACTTTCATCCTTCCTCCCACCCCCGTCAAAAAAACTTCAAACAATTCTTGGCCTCTTGGCTCCTCCCCTCACTCGCTGACATTTTGATGGGGGTTTCTACATGGTCCTTATCCACATTCAGTGATGGTTCCAGATGAGCAAAAAGTGTACAGGGCTGACACTTTCAGAAATATTGTTACTGATTTGTTTTAATTTTTACTCCACCCAAGCCAAAGTTTTGTGCCTGGGCA